ATGATCACATTTTAATAAACAACAACAAGCCAGACCCTTAAAGCTACTAGGGAGCTTCCCCTCAGCCATCAGAAAGGATGCCTAGGTCCCAGGCCAGGCAGGAATCCTGAGAAGCTCATCAGTGATTCTCCTGGAGACAGTTGCTAGTTCTGGGGAGGCAAATCCATGAATGTGCTGTCACCCTCAAAACTGCTCACCTGAACGTTTAATTTTCTGTAATAAACAAGCTGATTGGGTAAACTTAAACTTGCCTTTGGTGGTGGTGTGTGTGTGTGGGGGGGGGCTATGTCCAGTGTGATAAATGCAGCCTATCCTCTGGTGAGCATCTCTGAGTTCCATGGAATCTGGGAAGTTTAGATTTGTTTGTTGTTTGGCTGTTTTCCAGACCTCCCTGATCTGGTGACAAGCAGGAAAGAATTGAACCAGTTGACATCATGGCTTTTCTCTCATCCCAGGCCTGGACCTTTTTAATGCTGTGCTTGAATTATGTGTCCGGAAGGACTAACGTTCTCCCCTCTGGTAGCCTGCTACCTTCCGCCAGCTCTGAAGGGTAGAAGCATAGCAAAATTTACAGTGCTGGTGGCAGGCTCTCAGTATGGTTCAGTGCTGCACATGCTCAGCCTGAGAGCATTTCCTCAGCCTGACTCTTGCCAGCCCTTCATAAACCGCTCCTCCAGAGGATAGGACTGTGGTCCGACCTGATACCATAATCCCAGTTACAAGCTGATGGGGCCACTCTGTGATTACAGGGTTCCTGGGTTTCGGGTTAAGATTTACTTCCTTAGCTTTGAATGACAGAGGCCACTCTAGAGGGTCATTTTCTTTTCTCTTTTTATAACTCCTGTATTTCAAGGGGGTGATGCAACACTGTGCAATGACCAACAATAGAGACAAAAATAAATCCACTCATAACTTACAGGCCTTTCACTACCATCCCACTGCAACTTGAAATCACTTTCAATGTAGGATGTGAGACACCACTGTTTGTCATAGCCTAGCCAATCATTAGGACTTCCTTTGACCACCCCTTCTTGTCCCCATCAAATATCCCAGTAGGAGAAGAAGCCATGTTGATGGGATATTTGTACTGTATTATATCTAATCATGTCAAACTTCCGTCTGTTGATTTGTGTTGATTCACGAATCTTCAAGGGGTCGTCCGGCTTCCACGGACTCAATCCACAGAAGGGATTTACCTAAGATCCAGTTCAATGTGGTAGAAAATCACTGCCAGTGTTCATGTGAGGTCCGCATCCCCTGAGCACATGGTGAGGCTCATCACTTAACAAAAGCCAAGTTGTGGCAACTTCCAACCCACTGAATGGTTAAGTGATGTGACAGATGGATGTGAATGAAAGAGAAAGCTGAAGAATCGGGGTAGGGGATTCAGTTTCAGACCATCTTCCAAACACCCATATATACTTTCAGTTTTATACACCAGGACCAATTTTACGTTAGACAGGAGACAGACACAGACTGTACTTTCAAGTCAAAGCTAATTCAAGATAGATCATGATTAGAAATTTATTTGGAAGGGAATTGAAAGCATGTGCCTGAAGTTAGCAGGAAACCCATTATCTGTTTCAGGTGGCTGCGTCCCAGTCCTGTTCACAGTCCGGAATCCTCCAAATTATGGTCAGAGAAACTCAGATCTGAATGAAATCAGAAGTCTAACGTATTTTTCTGTGATAGTTCAGTAGATTATATTCCAATTTTCAAAATAATTAATTAGGTTTTATTTATCAGATTACCTACTAGAATAAAGAAATTGGACGTTTTAACTTTGAATTAAGATAGAAGATGCATAAAGATGAGTACATGTGTGTGGTGTGATGAATCGTCACAAACTCAATATATTCATGTCAACAACACCCAGACAGAAATTGCACCTCACAACCTATGTGTGGCAGCCCCTAAAGTTGCCAATGCTACCTCAAACTCCAGACAACCACCTCCTCACCTCATAACTGTATACATTAATATCTCTTGTTCTATACTTCTTAGAAATAAATGAGTGCTAAATGTATTTGCTGGGGTGGAGGGGTCATAGGTTGATGATAATTTTCCATATTTTTGCATTAATTCGAAATCGTTAATGCATTGTATGACTAAATTATGATTTATTTAGCTATTCTATCATTGTTAGATATTTGAGCAATTAGCCTAAAGATTTTTCACTGTGTCGAGCCGTTTGGAAAAACCCGCCTCTGGCTGGAGAGATGGCGCAGCTGGTAAAGGAGTTGCCGTGAGAGCATGAAGGCTTGTGTTCTAACCCATAGAGACCACGTCGAGCCAGCTGGGAGCTGGAATTGACACTCCTATGTCAAGGTATGGAAAGGGTAGGAGAATTCCTGAAATTTCAGCAGCCAGTCAGCCTGACATACGCAATTGTCAACAGGAGACTGGGTCAAACAGAGGAGAAAGTGAACAACATGCACAGTTCTCCTCGGACCATCACACATGATGAGGGGTGCGTGTGCCAGCGCTTACACACACGAATCCTAGACAAGGAAAGAACGAAACCATTCCCTCAAAGGGAGTAAGACATTTTAGAGATGGGAAATATTCTCCCAAGCGAACAATGCTAGCTCAGACTAGGGAATTTGGAAAGTCTTTGATGCCAAGGACTGATTATGTTTCTCTCTCTGTCTTCCCACTCCCACACCTCGTGTGTGTGTGTGTGTGTGTGTGTGTGTGTGTGTGTGTGTGTGTGTGTGTGTGTGTGAGTGAGATAGAGAGAGAGAGAGAGAGAGAGAGAGAGAGAGAGAGAGAGAGAGAGAGAGATTTTTTTCCTCCTGGCAAGCAGTTTCCATCGAGCTCTTCAGTGGCTGCAACCTGAGCCTGGCAGTATGGAGCGTTAATGCTGCATGCTCCAGTCAGAGTGAATGGCTGAATTATTGTGACATTAGTAAACCGATAATTCGTTTCCTGTGTCATTGTTCCTCACCTCAAGCTGGTTAGCCAAGCCTTTTCAAAAGCCCGACTTGCTCGACCTGCTACCAGTTACAGTCCATTTCCAGCTCTTCTGTATAAAATGCAATCTTGTCAAAGGAAAGACACCTGCTCACGGCAGGAGGGCTTCTCACTGGCTGCCAAATCCTGTGTTACAGTGTCTAGAAACAAAATGATCTTTCCATCTGGAATGTGTCCGCCATGACTGCCTGCCTTGAGTTGACTGCCAACCTCTGGTGCCAGAACGAGGCAGAGAAACAAGGCAGGAAGGCTCTGGGAAATGAATTTTGATGAGTTCTTGACATTGTGGCTGTAAAGTTAGTTTTCTCTGAAGGAGGGCTGCTTGCTTCATAGGTGACCTCAGCTAAATATATGTAGCTTCTAATGGGTGGGGAGCCTTCATCTACTGCCTAAATTTGAGTTTATTTTTTTTGTTACCTATTTTGAATTTTTACAAACCTTGTATTAATTTCCATTCTTCTTCATGAAGACTCCATGCTCTTTGGGATCACAGCCTCCCTTTGAGGTAGGAGAGGCCAGAAGGTTGGTTTGTTTCCCCACTCAGGGAAATAGTTATTCTCATCTCTCCCTTTACATGCTAAGTTCATCATTCTGACTCTAATTTTTAATAGTGTCAGTCAAGTCCATCTAATGGGGATGAATGTATATTATCCCTTTACCTTGGTGAGAAATTATCAGTCCCCATGGTTCCCAGCTGCCTGCTCTTTGAAGCCTTGGACAAGCAAAGGACATCTGAAACATTTTCATGACTATTCTCTATTGACAGCTACTTAGCAGAACTTTGAGACTTCAGTGTATTTGCTATGGATGGGCCATACATAGGCACATCAGCTTGTAGGCCCATGTAGGTCAACATCTTGGTATTTTGAGTTGAGGTAGTAGAAAGAAAAACTTAAACTGTGTCAAGGCACTCTGTAAATTATAAAACATAACACAATTGTTATTTTAGTTGAGTCCAGGAATTAAGTGTTTGAAAAATGTCTAAATACTCTTTGCCTCCAAATTGAGTGTAATCCCCCCAAACAGCTATCACCACACTGCAATACAGAAACCTCTTCCCTCGTAGAAGCCCCACACTAATCTCTCCCTCTAAATTCATTTTCTCTGCAGGTAGGTACCATCCCATGGGCTCCTTCCTTGCATCCTATTTAATTAAAACAGCAGTAATCAGCAGCTCACCTAGCTCATTCTCAACAAATGATTGTATCCACACAAGTCGGTTTTGTTTACATGTTCCTTGTCCAGGAAGAGAAAAGGTAGGTATCGGCTTGGTGATGTATGTCAGGAAACTACAGTACCAAGGGAACAAGCTCCATCCAGCCATAAAGCATTTCCTCCCCTGCAAGCCCAGAGAAGATTTCCAATTATTTGCAAACAGATAACATTGTGTGGTTTCCTACTTATTACAGACAAGACACCAGAAAAACAACTGGTTTGACAAAACTGCCCAGCAGCCCATTAGCTGTGAAGCTCTGCTAAATATCCATCATGTGTGGCCCCTGTGGAACCTGCTAAGGAAGCAGGAAGGAAGGAGTTTCCCATCAGGACTCTGAACGTTAAGAAATCAGAATCGAGGTATGGCTCCTCCCACTGATGTATCAGCAGTGGAGTACTGCAGTGTATATGTATGTGTGTAGGGGAGATGGGAGGAGGGAAAGAGAGAAGGAGAGGGGAGGAGGGAGGGAGAGAGAAACAGAGAGACAGATAGAGAGGGAGGGAGAGGGAGGGAGGGAGGGAGGGAGAGAGAGAGAGAGAGAGAGACAGACAGACAGACAGAGGGAGAGAACATGGATGGTACTTATCCAGCAAAAGTAAACAAATGTCCCAGGTCTTCTAACTGTGAACGGATGTTTTATTATGAGCTCTCCCTGGACAGCTTAATGATCACTAGCTCAGTTTTCAAGATTGAAAAGTTATTCCCCCCCCCCCATCTCAATGTAGATAAATTCCTATTGTACGACGCTACATCCAGGAAGCAATTCAGCCACGCTAAGCCTGAGACGCTGAGACAAGAAAAATGACTCTAGTTCAGTGGTGCGTATTTAAATCCTTCCAAGCACTGCTTTGAAAGTTGATCCTTTATTATTTTTGCCTTCCTAAGGTGTTCTCTTCTCAGATGCTGGGAGAATCCATATTGTGTCTGCGTGGGTACACTATAAACAGAAATAATAAATGTCAAGCTAAAAAAATTCCAAAAATTGATAGAGCTTAAGTATTTGTAATGATGATATTAGCACTTTGAATATAGAAAATAACAATTTAATACAATTGGCTATTCCAAACATTTTAGAATTAGAGGCACTGATTTTAAAATGAAATTACTACTTATGAGTTCGACAATCTGGCAAAAGGGTGGAAGTTTAAAATGATCCCCAAGAACCATCTTCTAATCCTGATGGCTCATCTCTGTAATTGCATATATAAATAAAATAATAGAAGGCAAGGCCACAGTCTTCAGGTAGCCACTGCATGGGAACCCCTCTGGTTATTCTGATGGGCCCTCAGCTTCTGCATTTACACCAGTTCATGATGTTGACTCAGCTCTGAGCATAAGAAGTGATTTGGGGAAACAGGTGGTTCTCATCAATGGTTCAAAGTCAAATTTGATTCAGAATTATCTGGAATTGTTATTTAAAAAGTCCACATTTGTGGGGCCCATTTTAGGTCTTTTGGATCAGTCATTTGGCTTAAGTCCCAGGGATTTGCACTTATTAAGGGCCTATTCAAAATGTGATTGGTGTTGCTGGCCAGGAGTGCCACTGTCCTCACACAAATCACAGTGCCAGAGCTGTAGTCACATGGTTCACCTTTATCCCTGGAGTCACCCAAATCATTCTGGTGTTTGGGGGACCACTAGGACCATGTTAAACTGTCAGTACTAAGGCCTTCTATATGTATGTATTTATTTTTAAATTAGGCCTGGTCCTGCCCTGTGACGATTCATAAGACACACATGCTCTGAACTCAAGGTGCTGCCGCAGCTTCCTTCCTGTGGGATCTTGGCACTCTTATGAAAAAAATAAGCATTTTTTTTTCTTCTAAAAAATCTTCTTTGTACTATTCCTCATAAGACTCTGGCAAGTGTCTGCACATTGTCATTCCTGTCAGGAACTGACCCCAGGAAGAGGGCCACAGATGTGAAGTCCAAGGGACAACAGGGTGACAGGAAAGCAGAGTGGCCCTGTTCAGCACTTTTGTGCATTCTGCACAGTTTGGGAAGTCACAGTTTGAATTTCTCCTGAGGAGTGAGACAGAGTCTCAGAGATTCATAGCCAAAGGGAATATGATGCTGCCATCAGCCTGAACACACATCAACCTACCTCTTCCTCAACACACTAGTCAAGTACAGAAAGACCATCTTCATGATGGCTAAAATGCTTCATCCCTTCAAAGAAAGGGCCCAGACAGAGTCCAAAGGTAACAGAATTAGACTCGGTCTGGGCTATTTACCAGCAGATGAGCTCTTGAGTGACAGTTGACTTACACTACTCGTGCATCATGACCAGGAGGCAGAGTTCTCTAACCACAACCAGCTTTGACAGCCTGAGTATGGAGATGCCCATCCTCACTTGGTAGACTTTTGTCTAAATAAGGGGAGTAGAGTAAGAGGATCAATAAGAACGAGTATGAAAACGCCACAGTGGCAGCCATTGTGTTTGTATGGTGTGCTGCTTAGCCTTGGTCAACTTTACAAGTACTAGTGTCACCTAGGAAGAGAGAATCTCAGCTGAGGAGCTGCTGCCGTCACATGGGCCAAGTGGGCACATCTGTGGAGGCCTTTTCTTGGCTGCTGACTATGGGGACTTGAATGAGAATGGGCTCCCATAGGCTTACATATTTGAACACTTGGTCTCCAGTCTGTGGAACTATTTGAGAAAGACTAGGAGAGTTGACCTTTGTTGGAAATGTGTCACTGGGAGCAGGTTTTGAGATTTCAAAAACTCATGCAATTCCCAGTATGCCTGTCTCCGCCTCCTGCTTGTGGATCAAGATGTGAGCTCTCGGCCACTTTTGCTGCCATGCCATCATGGACTCTAACCCTCAGAAACCATGAGTACAATTCAGCTTTATAATTTGTGTTGGTCATGGTGTTTTGTCACACCAACAGAAAAGAAGCTAACACATTGGCTGATGTGGGAGAGTCCAGCCCATTGTGGCCAGTGCCGTTTCCTTGGCAGGTGATCCTGGTTATGTAGGAAAGGCAATTGAGCAAGTCAAGATGTAGAAGCCAGTAACTGATATTCTTCAGTGGTGTCTGTTTCAGTTTCTGTCTTCAGCTCCTGCCCTGACTTTCATCAGGGATGAATTGTAACCTGAAAGGTGAAATAATCCCTTTCTTCCCCTGCATTTTGTCAGTATTTTATCACAGCAACAGAAAGCAAACTAGAACATAAATTGGTATCCAAATCATAGGATACTGCTTTGATGGTCCTGACTGGGTTTTGTTGGTGTTGTTTGTTTGGTTGGTTGGTTGGTTTTGTAGTTAGTTTGTTTGTTTTGGGTAAGGATTGTGGAGGCATTTGCAACCTTGGGATGGAGTGCTCAAATCTTAATGAGCCTTTATTGTGGGAGCTTGGAAGATCAGAATGCTGAGAGAACTGAGGATGATGAAGGCCTTGACTTATGGGATGTTTGAGGGAGACAGAAAGTCTATCTAGGCCATTTGTGTGATATATAAAGTTAAGAAGCTGTGGAAGTGGAACCTTTGCTTTTCTGGGACAATAGATCCTGGTTAGCTGGGCTGAAATAGCAGCTGTGATTAATAAGAGACCAGCAGCAGTGAGGTGAAATCTCCTGGGAAATATTTCCTCAGGGTGAGCACCCAGAAGCTGTGGTCTAGAGGGTGAGAAGGCTGCATCTCAAGCTGGCAGCTGAACCTGGCAATTCTGTGAGAGTCTTCTGCATGGTAGTGGTTTTAAAGGCATGAGGGGGTCATGGAGAGCAGGTAAGTCTTGGCACTAAGTAATAGGATCATAATTTCCCTGAAGAGAGGCCGGGAGGCCATTTGTGAAGGTGCAACCTTAGTTATGGTGGGAACTCAAGAAGATTGGAGATGCCAGGGCTGTGAGATGACCACCAAGGAAAGTGGCAGCTGTGAAGTGGAGCTGGACTGAGCCCTCAAGACAGCCGATGTGTGCTGTGGACGACACAAGTGGAGTTGCCTGAGCCCTTTGGAGACCAGAAGACAGTGAGTCAGAGACAGCAGACACTGAGCTGTTTACACTGTTGCATTCTGCTTTTGCTTTGATCTTATTATAACTGTGACCTGGTTCTTACCTGTTGGGATAAGAAGCATTTAACTCGTTTCTGATTATACAGGATCACACAGTTGAGACAGTAGTATTTTAAAGAGACATTGAATTTTTAAGTGACAACATTTTTAAAAAAAGATTGTGGGCTTTTAAAATCTAGACCGTGTTTTACCCTGTGATGTTAACATGAAATCTTGGAGATAAATTAGAAAGGGAAGATTATCATTTCATAATGATGTGTTTATCAAGTTGGCAGGGAGTCATTGGTGCTGGTTTGTTTTTTTCTACTTGACACAAATTAGAGTCACTCAGGAAGAAGGAACCTCAACCGGGGAATTGCCTCCGCTAGACTGGCTGGTACGCAACATTTGTAAGGAATTTTTTTTTTATTAGTGGTTGATTGGGAGGACCCAGCCCATTGTTGGGGTGTACTACCCCTGGGCGGGTGGCCCTAGGATGTATTAGAAAGGCAGCTGAGCAAGCCATGGAGAACAAGTCAGTAAGCAGCATTCCTCCATGGTCTCTGCTTCGGGTTGTTTCTGTGTTGGTGCACTTAGTGTATGAAAACAAAGCTTTCTTTTTTTTTATAGTACAATTTTTTTAAAATCTATTTATTTATTATGTATACAGTGTTCTGTCTGCACATATCCCTGCAAGCCAGAAGAGGGCACCAGATCTCATTACAGATGGTTGTGAGCCACCATGTGGTTGCTGGGAATTGAACTCAGGACCTTTAAGAAGAACAAGCAGTGCTCTTAACCTCTGAGCCATCTCTCCAGCCCCAAAAACAAAGCTTTCTTAACCTAGAAAAGCAAAACACTGTTGTGACACTTGCAGATTCTTAGTTATGCCACACACTATGAAGGAAGATTTGGGGAACTGATGAGATGTTCTTTATTCACCCAATTACTCACTTTCCCACTGAAACCCTTTGGAGCCCTCTGAGAGCTGCACCAACTCTACGTCTCAGAAGCCCATAGCGACTTGAGGGAAGCAAGAGTTCCTGAACATCCATCAAGTTCAAGTTTATACCTAAATAACAAATGTAAGCCAGTCATATGCAAACCAAAAGTATCTTTATGGTCCTGACATAATGGCATAGCAGCATCTTTCGCACTAAACCCTACTTCTTTGGAATCCCCCAGGACTATATATAACCTGTTGGGACAGATGAGCAGTGGCCACTTTAGAGGGGCCATGCTCCTTGTTTCCCACAGTTGCTTTTTATCCTTTATGCTACCTATGGTCCTCTTGTCACCCTTCTCCTGGAAGCATTCTCTTACCTTCCCTGACATTAGCCCAGATGACACACCTCCATGTGAAGATGTGTGGCATCCATACTTACAGAGGTGGCTAGAGCCAAAGACTCTATGTTCGTCTGACTTGACCAGTTGCTTGCCAGCTGCCAAGCAATCAGTTAGTGCTTGATGATCTGAGCTAGTTTCTAAGTTGACAAAAGTAGTCGGATCATATTTTGGTTTGGTGTTTAAGGCTTGTTGGCTTTATGGAATACTAATAAAGCTTCAGTGTAAGATTAGTATAGATTTAACATTAACATTAACACCTCATTCTTAGTCTGAATTTCCTTGGGCTTGACACTTTTACAAAGCCGTTCTCCTTAATTATTTCTACAGATCCTCTCAGGGCTTTATGAATTGACATGGTTTGCTCTACCAGAGGCCTGTAGTTGGTGGTCTCCTACTCTTTCCTTGACCTGCTTCAGGCTGGCCTCAGACCCTGCTGTGCTGGGACTCAGCTCTGGGAACGGCCTTCCGGCCTCCAGATGTGATGGGTAAGGATGTTTTCAGGACTCTTTCATCTCTTGCCAGTCCCTCCTCCACTGACCAGCCCACTTTCTCCTTGAAGTTGAAACATCGCAGTCTTCCTATCTTCCTTCTAGC